CAGTGGGTTTATCTGAAATTTAGAAAAAAAGGACCAATAGAATATCTCAAAAACTTTTCTAAACTGTTTAATGGCACAGAAATCTGAGTGTTGTGAAAGAAGAAAACCTTTAAACATCACATTTTCAGCAACAAATGGGTCAACTTTTCTTCAATGTTGTAATGTGATTCTATCTTTGAATGTGAAGCTGCTGAACTGAGATACAGTTATCACCTGAAGTTAATTGAACTGAAAAAATATGGACAATCTGCAAATTAAGAAAATGCTTGACTGGGATGCCTCCCTTAGGAATCAAAACTTGGAAAATCTTAACAAATTGTATTTTATATCTTAAACAATCAAAAAGTGGAACTCCAGGGTTTCCAAATGGAGGCGCATTGGCCATTTACGGCCCTGGGAATGACTTTGGTTCACAATAATTGTTTAGGAATAATAGAAATGTATTTTTCTTGCACAATTCATTTTGCTTGTTGGTGCAGATGAGAACTTTCTAGGTACATTTTTTTACTGACAGAGTAAGATCTAACACCTAATATGTTTCTTTTGTTAACCAAGCTGTTTAATTACACTTTAAATAGGAGACTTCCTTGTTTATTTTATTAACAAATTGCATGGTTAAAATTTTTGTGATTTAATTTAAAACAATTTCTGTACAATTTAGACTACATTTTATGGTATTAAATTTTATTTTAAAATCCTGGATCTTGATTTTTGATTTTTTTTTTCTGTTTACTTCATAAAATGAACTAAACGAAACTAAGTGAAAAGTAGTCAGCCAAGTGATCAATAAAGTTGCTCTCCTAGTGGATTTTATTAAAGGCCTTGTGTGGGGAGAATTAGTTTGAAAACAATCTTTCTAATCTCTTTGTAATTGGAACAGACATTTCAACTAATCAGTCTAATGCTTTCTTACTGATTCTTTAACAGCAACAACAACAACCTCTCTCAGAAGGCTTATTTAATAAACCCCTTGGTGGTTTTATGGGGGATAATACATTGAATCCCAAATAACAACCCACCCCTCTGTGTCTGACCTTTACAGCTAGAGTCCAAAGAGGATTACCAAGATGGTTGTTTGCTCGTCCTGGAGCATCACTTGACTTTTGAACTCTGAGGATTACTGGAAATGTCAGGATATCCCAACTGTATTGCAAAAAGAAGTAAGTGCAATAACTTTATAAGTTTGGAAGAGAGTTTGCATTTAAGAATCATAATAAAATAAATGACCCAAAATAAGTCCACTAAATGTAAACTATAAGCCATATCTTTGGACTTTTTTCAAACACAATTTTGTTACATTCAAACATAGTTATATTTAAAAAAAGAACTATTCCCTATAGCCTGACAAACAATGACAAATAGTAACAAATAATGACGTTAGAGAAGAATAGGCCATTAATCTTCTAAGTCTGTAATAGCAACTTCCTAGCTATGTGAATCAATCATTATATTGAAAAAGTGAGGGAAAACAAGTGTGTATTCACAGGAGAATATAATCTAGCAAATTTATCCTGAGGTTTAATTGGGAAATGTTTAAATGACCAATGACTTGGAAGGGCTCCTACAAACCTCAGTTAATATCAAGGTAGCTAAATGCTATTGTTGAGAGGGTACAAGCAGGCCTGACACATACACAACACCCCTGGTGATACAGGTCTGAAACAATTCTATGATGAATATAAAACAAGTTGTAGAGCAATATCTTATTTTTGTAAAACCTTTTACAGACACCACAAAGTGCTTTGCAAAGACAAAACATATACAAGAAAAAACAACAGTAAGCAAAAGCCTGTTTGAATAAGATTTCTCTAGTGGTTTTTAAAATAACCTGTGGACTCTGTGTAGTGCATTAAGAGTATCAGGGCATTCCAAAGCATCAATCAGACAGCTATAGTGTGATTTCTTACAGAAGTAAATATTTCTGAAAAATACTGGTTTCTAATCTTGAGGAAAAATAGTTGCACAATAAATTAATGTAGGTGCATAAAGGAAGGCAGAAGAGGTGTTACTTAAAGTGAATATATCACATTTTATAGCAATGGTCTCTTCAGTCTTGTTGGGCCACAGTCCTTCAACCTTTAGATGTGTCCCTTGTCCTACACACAGGAACTAAATGGCAAAACCGGTTGGCAAGTCTGTGTGATACTATTGCCACCTACTGGTGTGATTGTAGAACTACAGATACATCCTACAAAAATACTGGAACTTTGCAATTGATCAATAATTATAAACCATTTTAGGCACCAATTTAGACACTATTAACAATACATTTAGCACTTTTAGCCAAATTCTACAAGTTCACTGGTTTGTAAGAAACTACTACACCTCAGAGGCATATTTAACAAAAAGTTCACTTTTAGACACGTCATTGTCTACTGGAGACTCATGGTGTCACAGCCAATTAGAGAAATGGGCCTTGTGGCACTCATAAATAATATATATATATATATATATACATGAAACCTGAGAAATGTATGGTATACAAACTCACTTGAGCAGTGAAGTTGTCCAAAGACCCATTTCAATTTGAATGTTTATTACCATTCTTTGAAATAGTTTTTTTATGCCTAAATATTTTTGAATAAGTGACACTTGTGCAATAAATTTAAGAATTTAAAATAATTCTCATATTTGAAAGTCACAATGCCTAACTTTATCATAGAAGTTTGAAATTTGGCACACTTGTAGAACTTCTCAACCCTCATGGGGCTGACTGTAGAGACACACTGACGATAGACAACTCAACAGTGCCCAGTGGAAAAGTGACTGAGAGACGGTTTGAATAGGCAGCCCACAAGTTACAGGACATCTTACCTTCATAATAAACTAAACAAAGTGAAAAGTAGTAAGCAAAGTAATTAACAAAGTTACAGTCCTAGTGGATTTGATTAAAAACTCTGTATGGAGAGGATTTGTTCGAAAACAATCTTCCAAATATCATTAATGTTATTCATCTGTTCTCTAGCAAAAATGTTGAACTTTGTTCCTTATTGGGACAGGCATGCAAGTAAATAATCACCTTAATGTTTCCTTTGCTGATTCTTTAATAGCATTCACAACAACTTCTCTCAGAAGGCTCATTTAGTAGATCCCCTTGGTCGTTTTATTGTGGATAAGACACTGAATCCCAAATAACAACCCACCCCTCTGTGTCCGACCTTTACAATTAGAGTCTAAAGGGAGTTATTGAGATACTTGTTTGCTCAACCTGGAGCATGACTTGCCTTTTGAACTCTGAGGATTACTGGAAATGTCAGGATGTCCCAATTGTATTGCCAGTAGAGCTGAGTGCAACAGAAATGCAAGTTTTCAAAAGAAGTTTTAACTTATGAATCATAATAGAAAAAGTTAAACTTGCAGGGCCTACAATTAGAATGACTAAATTCACTAAATGCAAACAAAAATCTAAACCATATTTCTTTTTTCATAAAACTGTTATTGAAAATTAAAGAGAGTTAGGGTTAAAAGTTTCTTTGAAGTCTTAAAACTTATGGTTATTGAAATGTCATAAGTTGTGTCCTTGTTTAAAATCCTAAACTAACCATTAGAAATACTAATGGAAAAAATAACCTATGCAAAAAGTACTATAAGCATGTTTGTCTCAAAACCCCTCACTACTTCTTTTCACAATACAATTTATTTTGTTTTCTTGAAAAATAATTTTTTTTAGCTAGGTAAGCATAATTCCTAAAATGATCATAATTTATATTATTACGCAGGCCTCTGAAAAAAAATCTCATAAGAAAAAAGCGACAAATTTTCAAAAAAAAATGCTTTTGGTACATAAGAACTGACATGTTGAACAAATTGGATGACGTACAGAAATGAGAACAGAAGTATGAAGTTTGAAGTAAAGTCTTCTGTTATAACTAGCAACTGAACTAGTATTTGTGATTTTTTTTTTAACTGTGTCAGTGACAGATCTGGAAAATATTTAGATAAAGTATGGTAGGTGTTGTAAGTTTGGACATTTCATCCGGTAAAATATGCACACCCATGTACACACAGAATAATGAGGGCTGCTAGTTTGTTACGTATGCACAGGCGCACCAATGAACCCTTAGACTGATACCATCAAACTATATAAAGAACAGAATGTCAGTATTAGCCTAGTTTTAATCTGTCAACTATCCTGGAGGCTTGGCATTAAAACAAGGGAAAAAATAATCTTCACACACAATGATAGCAAACTGACTGAGTTGTCTTCAGCAAATTTGAACCTTCCTGAATAAGGAACAGGGCTATAAAAAAAGCGAGCCACAAAAACTCCAAAAACAAACAAAAGCAATTTTAGCTGATGTGGTGATCCTGAATTCAAGGTTAGTGTTTCTATTTTACCTCTTGAAAATATCTTGTTTACATCTTCATGTAAAAGTTTATTATTTGTTTAGATATTTACTGGAATTACCAAGATTTTACTTAGAGCTGTGAATGAATTTATGGAGTTAGGCTCCTTTTTTCCAGCTCATTAATTTTTTTTTTGTAATATTATGCTTTTAATAATTCAGAGCCTAAAAGTTCAAGCTGAAATCGATTATTTTCCCTTTCATGACAGTTTAAAAAGGTTTTTTATGCAACAATTATTTTTCATTTGGTGTTAATGGAAAGCAGGGGTGCCAGGATTGTAAAACTAAGAAGAGCCTGTGGTTGTTGCTTTATTATTCTTTTAAGAAGGAGTAAATGTTAAAAGAGATGTCATTACATTTTTTAAAGATTCATTGATGGGCACCACAACACATTTGGAACTACAATGTGGTGTGGTTCCAAATCTAAGCAATTTTACAACTTGATATACAAAATGCCAAAACTTTACTTCTGAGTGCAAAGCAAGAGTGGGTTTGTCAACATCAGCAGTGCTTAATACAAAGTTATGCACCTTTCTAAGTTTTAGAGTTCAACCATCAACTATTACGAAAATAAGAAAAAAAAAAACACTTTTGATATTGGATTTCTGTAAAAATTAAAATTCTTTCTTCTTTTCCATTTACAGGCTTAAAAAGATGAATATATCCATTGCTAATGTGACAGGAGTTCCAGATTATCGGGATTCCTTCACCAAGGCTGTGATTAAGAATATTATTGTTGTGGTTCTTAGCATTTCCATCAACTACATCAATGCTGGACTCATTCATACTTTCTGTGGAAACCAGGTCATTATTTTAATCATATTTACTGCCTTCAGTACACAGTTCTTTCAAAATTAAATTGAAAATAAAACTAATGGTAATGTTCAAAGTGGGTTTTACATTTACATTGAAGCAGAATATTAAATGCAGTGCCTTGCAAAAGGATTCAAATATATACATGTTCTTTCTTACTAAAGCCACAATATAGTTGGTTGTGATTCAATTTGACAGACCAACACAAAGTAGTATAGAAATGTGGAAGTGATGTGGAAGAAAAATGATACATAGTGTTTAAAGTTTTTACCATTAATTGCCAGCAATTTATTAGAAAAGCCATCTTTCACTGCAGGCTTTCTAAACAATGGTTTCTTCAGGCCTCTTTTCAATAAAGACCAGATATTTGAAGTGTAAAATTAATAGTTGTCAGGCAACACATGCAACAGAAAGTTTTCTTCATTTTCTGTCAGTTCCCAACAGTTTTGCATAAAAACTCAATTATTTAGTCCGCCATTCAACATGAAATGTAAATTCTTGACTACTATAAGCATCACTACAATAATGTGCTGTCTTGCTGTTTTTTTTTGTTTTTCTCCAGATCTTCAACACAAATCCCCGGTACATCCTGTTTGTTCACTTGGTGATCAATGACATGATCCAAGTAACGCTGACTGTTGCACTGTTCATCATTAGCTACATCCTCTACAAGATCCATGTATTTGTCTGTTGCATCTTAATCCTGATTGCCCTCTTCACCACTGAAAACACCCCGCTGAACCTGGCCTGCATGGCAGTGGAGTGCTACATCGCCATCTGCATCCCTCTACGCCACTCTCAGATCTGCACGATCAAGAGAACGAGGCTGCTGATTTCTTTAATCTGGATCACCAGCTTGGTGTCTGTTCTCCCTGATCTCTTCATTACCTTGGCCACAGAGCCACTGGACTATTTTAATACACAAGTGTTTTGCCTGAGGGAAACTGCTTTTCGAAGTCCCAGAATTATAGAGAGAAGAAATATTACCTATATTGTATATCTGGTTATAGTTTGGTGCATTATTTTTTTCATTTATATCCGCATACTATTTATGGCAAGAATAGCAAATAGACATGCTAAAAAGGCAAGGAACACGGTCCTCCTTCATGGGATTCAGCTTCTTTTGTGTATGGCAACATATGCAGAACACCTGGTGAAACAGGCTGTGTTGCAATGGCTTCCTAAGTATTACTCAGATTCTCTGTTTGTTTGTTATATAATTTTCCAAATACTACCAAGATCTATTAGTTCACTTATCTATGGCATAAGGGACAAAACCTTCAGGAAACACCTAAAAAGGTATTTATTATGTAAGGTGATCCCACAGTGATATTAATAGAGTATACATCATTAACATCATTCGGATAAAATTAAAATTAAATAAAGAAATAAAGTTGAGTAACTTAAGATGAAAAAAGGTTAAAAATGAAATGTTCTATTTCAGTTCTAATGAGTAATTACTCACTGAAACAGGGGTCTTAAAACCCAGGCTTTGAGGCCTGGTTTCCTTCAAATATTAGATGTGGGTTTGGTCCAACACAATAGGAATTCAAGAGGTATTCTTGAGGATTGCTAATTCTACGTCTGCACAGGTAAACCTATGAGCCCTTAGACTGATGCCATCCAAACTATAGAAAGAATGGCATATCAGTATTAGTCTTATTTGAATCTGTCAAGTAGATTCTGTATGAACATTTGGCATTAAAACAACAGAAAAAAAGTTAATCAAGAGAAGGGAAGCAACAACAGAAACCTTTAAGAGCCAAATGGATTATTTAATATATTTTATTCTTACTTACTATATTATACGAATCAACTTAACATCAAAAACAATCTGGAGAGTACTAGAAAACAAGCCTTCAAAAGATAATTTTCTGTGCAGCCATCTGTCCCACTGTCATTTTGCTTGCCACACTTTAGGTGAAACATTTGTTTCACCTAAAGTTTTTTGTGCAAAATTTTGTGCAAAATTGTAAACAAAAATTTTGTTATTTTTGTGCAAAATAACAAAATAGGAACTCACAAAGGGGACAAATACTTTTTAACCCCACTATGTAAAATATGGATTCTTTGTTAAGCTAAGTGAGTCTTGGGGCTGGGGGAGCATAATGTAATATAAGTTCTATAATCACAAAGTAATATGTAATCATAAGTGTCTAATAATGTAAACTTATTTCCAGTTTACATTGAAAGATCTCTTAAGTAAAACTAAGTCCTTCATCATTGGTCTCCTCTACATAGGTACATAGGTGGGTATGTTTCAAATAAGATGCATAAATACATGCTCAGGCTAGAACCCTATTAAATATTACATAGAGAACACCCACATCAACACAGATTACTCTCAACACGCCTCTTTTAAGGTCTGTATTTTTAATCAAGATGATTTCTATCTGTTTTTCAGGAACTTAAAATGTGATTTATGCACACATATATTTTTATGATCAGTTAAACTATGCCTTTTGTAATTTTATGTTTTACCAGATGTCCTCTTCATCAGTTCCTGACACAAATTTCACAGTTACTGAGGGCAACCTGACCGGACCTGGAATTAATCTGGGCAGTCTTTCTGTAACTGCTACTATTACCAATCTGGTTGTTATTTTACTCGGCATCATCACCTGCTCCGTTAATATGCTAATGATTCACATATTCAACAAACATCAAGTTTGTATAATCTTCTACAATGCATGTTATTGGTGTGCATTTTTTGTTTCTCAGTAATTAGGTAGAAAGATTACTGTGGAAGAGTGATGTCAAGCATGAATAGAAAAGGTGTTTTGTGCCCAGTTTCATCATCTTTTTTTTTTCTGACCCACACATCTTTTTTTGTTACAGGTTGGATCTATTATTAAAAATTATCCTTATATTTTCTTTATTTGAAGTATTATTTTATGTTTTCCATTTGTTTCAATGCTCAGCATAGGACTATAAAAAGTGATTATTGTTGACATTTAAACGGACATTGTGACAAACTGAGAGAGTTTGTGCATATTATTTTTCATATTTTATAATAGTTGACAGTAAACCTATATAATTAAAATTAACTACTGTGTGTTGTTTAATGTATTGTGTAACATTTAGGTTTCTAAATTATTTGTATAGCAAAATAATTGTTTTTGTTTAAGTTTTAAATGCAAACTGAAATGTTACAGCACTAATGTGTTTTTCAGTGTTTTCACCTTGCAATTTAACTCTGGACTCGTGCTCTTCACAGATCTTCAGGTTCAACCCTCGCTACATCCTTTTCAACCACTTGGTGCTGAACGAAACACTCCAGTTGACACTGAGCATTTCCCTCTACCTCTTTGCCAATTCCTTTTACACCATCTATGTCTCGCTGTGCATACTCCTCCTCCTGCCGGCTATTCTCACCACCAGAAACACTCCACTGAATCTGGCCTGCATGGCAGCAGAATGTTACATCTCCGTCTGCATCCCCCTCCGCCATGGAAACATATGTACAGTTAAGAAAACCTACATTGTCATTGGCATTATGTGGGTCATAAGCTTGCTCACTATTCTGCCTGATATATTTATTCTTTTTGTTACTGAAGAGCTGGAATTTTTGAAAACGAGAGTTTTCTGTGATAGGGACAGAGTGTTCAGAAGCAGCTACAGTAAAAATAAGAGAGATGCATCCCACATATTTTTTCTGGTGGTTGTTTCCCTTACTCTATTCTATACTTATTTCAGAATTTTGTTTGTGGCAAAAGCTGCAAATTCTGATGCTAAAAAAGCAAGAAACACTATTCTGCTTCATGGTTTTCAGATGTTGATGTGCATGACACTGTATATGCAATCTTTGCTAAAGCAGCTCCTTTTATACTTGTTTCCTAAGAGTAGCATTTCTATACAGCATGCTATTTTTATATTAATCCAGATCATTCCTCGGTGTCTAAGTCCTGTTGTTTATGGGATACGAGACAAAACTTTTAGAATGTACTTTAAGAAGTATTTTATATGTTTACAAGTAAAAGCAATAAGGGTACAAACCTAACAGAGAACCAAAAGTCTTGTGAAATACACTGAGCTTTTTCAACAAAGCCTGTTACCTGACGTGTGAAAATGGGTAGTGATTAAGTAGTTAAACTTGAATATAACAAAGTGCAAGTTAACATGTCATTTTGTTGTAGCATTTATCAAGGGCAATCTCAACAACCATTTCATTAGGAACACTTGCTAAATTGTTCTGTTAACACAAAAGACAAATCTATCAACTGGACAAAGTAAACTGTGTTGTTCTAGACATGATAAAGTCATGATACTTGAGTGTTTGAGTTTTGGGTGTTATTTATGTTTGGAATAATCTACTATTGTTCAACTGCTTTTTTCTCACTTTTATGGCAAGACCATATCAGGTTTATGTATTTAATGTTATTTTAACAGTTGAATGCAACCTACTTCCAATTTTTTCCCCTCATATCATTTCCCTGTACTATATATCCAATAGTTTCAATGCATCTGCAGTCTAAACGGTCATGCTATATGATCTGACTTTTAAACCACTGATATGCTTCCAAGGTAAACTTAATGCAGCATTAGCCCCTGGATTTTCCTATTTCTTCGCTGGATCTTTCCATTTCTCAGTCCATTGCCTACCTGACAATGACCTGTCTTCTCCTACATTTACCTGTAGTTGTTCTTATTTTATTAAAACACTTCATTTCTATTACAATGTGTTCTGTGTTTGTGTTCTTTTGCAATCACATGTTGTGATGGACAAACTCTGCTTGGCTGAGTTTCAAACTGATCATCTAGATAAGTAAGAGTTTAAGAAACTTTAAAGGAGGGATGGTTATTGGTGCCAGACAAGCTGGTCTTACTTCAGAATTGATCCACAGAGATTTTTAAACACCGCCATGGCTTGAGTTTAAGTCAAGCTTATTTGTATGGCAAAAAGGAAGTGGTGTATTTCTGCAGATGGCAGTAGGACCAAAAGGAAGAGGCAGAGGAGCTCAATCTTTTCACATGATCTTTCTCATTATATTGTCAGGACACCATGACAGCTTTCGCAATTATGCAAACAATACATTTTTATCAAAGTTATTACTGTAGCTTTAAATTACAACTTCATAAAATATAATATGCACTCAAAACTAAGTTATGTTAATATTTCTTGCAATATTACATTTTGTTTCTATTTCCCATTTACCCTAAACGATACATTTGGTAAAAAGTAAACTCTTGCATCATTGATCTGCTGCTCCAAAGGAAGGCGTGTTTTAACTAAGGAACACAAATAAATCCTCAGGATGGTGTTCTATTATATAACAGAGTAGAACCACATCACTACAGATTACTTTTGACGCTACTCTAAGGTCTGCTTTTTAAAGAAGTTGGAGGATTCAGTCTTAATAGTGTGTAACAAGCTTAAAATCTGAGTCATACATTATTTATTTTCTCATTATTTAAACTGTGCCTTTTGCTGTTTTATGTCTTATCAGATGTCCTCCTCCTTATCTGCCAGCACAAATTTCACAGTTACTGAGGGTAACCTGACTGGATCTGGAGTTTATCTGGGCATGCTTTCTTTGACAGCTGTTATAGGGAATGTGGTTGTTATTTCACTTGGCATCATCACCTGCTTCATTAATGCTTCAATGGTTCACATTTTCAACAAACAGCAAGTGTGTATTATGTTATTTTATGTGTCATTGATGTGCATTTCTGTTTTTTCAAATTGTAACTATTACAATGAAAATTATGTTAACATTTATATTCAAAGCTAAAAACCAACTCTACTGCCCAGTATGATATAGGAACACATGCAAATAAGAAGAACAATTATTATTGACATCAAAACTGTGAGTTCAGTGGAATTTTTTATCATTTTATGAATGGTAATAGGAAGATATTTTTTGTAAATAAATCAAATCAGTGTGTTGGTTAAATCCCTAAAGAAAGTATTTTTTTATGTTTATGCATAGGTTTTCTCAAGTCACTCATAATATTGAGTGACTTGAGAATATTAAGTAAAAACAAAACCAAAAAAAATCATGCATAATAAACTAACATGATTATACATTTTGAATCAAAACTGAAAAAATACATCTCAGGAGATGACGTTTTAAATGTATTTAGTGTTTTCTGTCAAATTGCCATTTAACTCTGGACTCGTGCTCTTCACAGATCTTCAGGTTCAACCCTCGCTACATCCTTTTCATCCACTTGGTGCTGAACGAAACACTCCAGATGACACTCAGCGTGTCCCTCTACATCTTTGCCCATGCCTTCTACACCCTCTATGTCTCAGTGTGCATTCTCATCCTCCTGCCGGCTATTCTCACAACTGTGAACACCCCAGTGAACCTGGCCTGCATGGCAGCAGAATGTTACATCTCTGTCTGCATCCCCCTTCGATATGACAGCATATGTACAGTTAAGAAAACCTACATTGTCATTGGCATTATGTGGGTCATAAGCCTGCTCACTATTTTGCCTGATATATTTATTCTTTTTGTTACTGAAGAGCTGGAATTTTTGAAAACGAGAGTTTTCTGTGATAGGGACACAGTGTTCAGAAGCAGCTACAGTAAAAATAAGAGAGATGCATCCCACATATTTTTAATGGTGGTGGTTTGTCTCACTCTATTCTACACTTATTTCCGAATTTTGTTTGTGGCAAAAGCTGCAAATTCACAAGCTAAAAAAGCAAGAAACACTATTCTGCTTCATGGTTTTCAGATGCTGATGTGCATGACGCTGTATATTCAACAGGTACTGAAGCAGCTCCTTTTATACTTGTTTCCTGGGCAGGCTATTTACATAAAAAATGCTATTTTTGTATTAATCCAGATCATTCCCCGTTGTCTAAGTCCTGTTGTATATGGTTTACGAGATAAGACTTTCAGAATGTACTATAAAAAGTACTTTATGTGTTTCCAAGTAAAAGCAGTAAAAATACAAACCTAACAGAAACATTGGCTAAAGAAGCTGGAAGTGCATATTTGACGTTCGCTTCCATGGTAGAGTTTTAACTTGCACTCATAGACGTAGCGATGATCAAACTACATTTTACTACTACTGTCATAATGCCTTTATTTGCTAAGATACATTGTGAGTGTCCAATGCTCTTATATTTAGCTTCTAAACCTGTGTATGTCTTCTAAATAAAATATATTTTTCAAATTGTTTCTTAAAAGTGAATGGTCTAAGATGTATTTGCTTAATAAATGACCATAGATAGTTCTTTCTATAAATAAAGACATGAAATGAAAAACTGTGAAAGCAGCACACTATAATAATATATACACCTTCAGAAAACACCAGTTGAGCATTTGTCATCACCGTTTGGTCAAACTGAAATATCATTGTTGTAAAACCAATGGTTATCATCAGCAGGTTAGGGAGAAAATTAATTACAAAAATCCTGGCCTTGATATAGCAAGTGAATGGATACCTTTTTCATTGTCACTCTGAAACAATAATTTTAGATATGTTGAAACAAAACATGTCCTAAAACCCTTCTTTATGAGGGAAGGACATGCTCTGGACAAAGATAGCATCTATATTCTTTATAGTTCTTGTGACTGATACTTTCTTTTAGTCATTTCCTGTGAAATTTATTTTATCTTAGCATCTATAGCTTATGATACTCTTTTGATTAGGTACAAAGAAAGGGAAGTAAAATGATTGAAAAGCTTTTACACTCAAAGAGAAACTTTAGAACTTCCCATGTAATCCTATCTGAGACACAGACAGAAATTACAAGAAAATCATGTATGTTTTTACCACCACTCAACAACAGCATTAGTGAAATAAATTGCACAGTTTTCATCCGACTACCTCCAATGACTTAAGTAATACCCAGGAGAGAATTATACCTACCGGTACATTCAATTTTGATAGGACTGAACCTTCATATAAAGCAATATTTCATACTGAGCTTCTGACTAGCAAAACAGTCAAGGGTGACACATCTAAGGTAGGACATCTTTGCACTTCTCATGTGTGCTCTATTGTTTCTACTATTGTATTTTCTGCATGATGGCAGTGGAATGGGAAATAAACATATTTAGGTAGTAGCCAAGATAGTGAAATTTCTTTAGAGTAAAACTCAATTTGTTTAGAATTGTCTTTGATAGAAACTGGAATATCATATTTTATAGTCTGTTCTCAACCTTTCATTACTTTTCACATTATCTTGCTACAGTAATGTAGTTTTTGTCATATTTGTAGGATATAAATTTAAAAGGTTTACAAAACAAGCTCCTTTAAAAAGTTTGTTTTCTCTGAAATCTTAACATGCATTTGTACATGGCATTGTCATTATCATATGCCATAACATATGAAGACTAACTGAATGGAGTTGTTGGTCTGATCTGCTTTAATTCATGCTGATTCATGCTTTTAGTTGTGCCATAATGCCAGGCTGGCCTGTGCTGACTCTGTTGCCCATCAGTTACATAGTGCGTTTACTTAAGTATATTAAGCAACGTTGCATCAAGAAAATGTTTTCCCTAAACACAATGACAAAACAGGCCACAGTGAGGTTTTCATACAATAACTATCTGTTTTGCTCCAAGGATCTCCACAAGCAACAGGAAAATAATTAACAGAGTTAGGCAAGGAGTTCTCTTCTACTGCAATCGAAGCAAAAAACAACAAAACAAAACTTAACTCAAGGAATGATCCCGTGGCAAAGTTCTGCTTGCTTATTTTTTTATTTTATTGGTTAAAAAGTCTAAAGAAATAAAAACAACACATTCAAAATAGTAAGAACAATAACAACTAATATGAAGAAAAAAAATTATTAGACACCGTCAATACTGTCTAAACCCTTGCAGAGATAACTTGTTCTAAGCACAAGAACAATGTGGCTTTAAAATTCAAACATTTAAAATACTAATGTTGTACTATACTAATGTAAATAATGTTATTTGATGTCATCTTTTCATAGACATAAGCAAAAATTGAAGATGAATTCTTCATCTTTCAGCAACATGTCAAGCAGCTTGACTTACAGAGACACTCTCAGCATTGCAGTGACCAAAAATGTGCTCATAGTGGCTCTTGGCATCACCATCAACTATATCAATGGAACACTGATTCACACCTTCAGAAAACATGAAGTAAGCCTTTTTGTTCCTTAACTATCTTTGGCAATTATTGAATACAATCATAGAAAATGAATAAAGTCACTTAAAATATATATTTTTTCTGTTTCAGATATTTTACATGAATCCTCGTTACATCCTGTTCATCCATCTGGTAGTGAATGATATGATCCAGCTGACTACATCCACCAGCTTGTTTGTTTTCAGTTACATCTTCTACAGAATTAATACTTCTTTCTGTTGCTTCATTGTTACCTTTGCTGTTTTCACGACTACAAACTCTCCTTTAAATTTAGCTCTGATGGCAGTGGAGTGCTATGTCGCCGTTTGCTTCCCACTGCGACATGCTGAACTTTGCACCATCAAAAGAACATATTTTCTCATTGGCTGTATTTGGGGGTTAAGTGCAGCAATAATTTTGCCAGACATCTTTCTTGTCCTCGCCACAGAGCCTCTGTGGTTGTTTAACTCTACAGTATTTTGTGATCGAGACACTGTTTTCCGACACCCAATAAGCATAAAAAAAAGAGATGTTTCTTACATAATTTTTTTTTCTGGAGTTTGGTTTGTACTTTTATTTACATACTTCAGGATCTTTTGTGCTGCTCATGCTGCTAACTCATCTGAGGGAATTGTAAAGGCCAGAAATACTATCCTGATTCATGGTTTTCAGCTACTTTTGTGTATACTGACATATGTAGGTCCGATGACAAGAATGTTTCTGGTGTTTCTGCCCGCAGCACAATATGTCCAAGCAATTTTTTTTTGGTACATACTGATCCAGATTCTGCCCAGATTTGTGAGTCCTATTGTGTATGGGGTGCGAGACAGCACATTTAGACACTACTTGAAAAATTATATTTTGTGCAGCATCGGAAAAGCCAACAAACTGCATCCGTAAGTGTTTCTTGTGTTGGTGTCAATATCCTAAATTTGATCATTTTAAAACATACACTATGCTTTATGTAAAATTAGACAATGCATGTTTCTGATTCAAACAAACAAAAATGACCTAAAATAAACATTGTTAGATGTGTGACTGGAAACAAAATTAGATTGATCTTTGAATCAGTAAAACATTGTCAACTTTCATTCACTGTGCAGTCTTTCACTCAATGCAAATACAAGACTTAAATTGAACTTTGGTGTACTGCAATTGTTCACAGATATATTTCTTCCTTAGTCTTAGCACCTGAAGATACATGCTTAAGATACAATGTGAATTTCTAAAATATTGAAATAAAAAAAGTTGATATTTGTGTTTTTACTGCATTAACATAGATGGAAATTGTCTTAAATGGCTCTAATTGGTAATTTTACTGAGAAGTGCATTTCTGCAGCAGGACCACTAGGAGGTAGAAGTCAAGTTTTATTTTCATAAATGTCCATTGGGCAGTGAGTTTTCATGTTAAAATGTAAATGACCTTTTTCTGCTTTGAATTGCTGTGCTGCTTCCATAAGTTATGTTAGCCTATTTGCATAGCAAGGGCTCTTCATGCAACTGTATTTTTTAAAGTTAAAACATGATGCAATATTTGTGCTACTGTGTAAAGAAACTGCCAACTGTTGCTTTTACAAAATGTGGCTTAATTACACAACTGTTGAAACAAATTTCTCTGAAGTGAAAAGGGCCAGTTATTGCAAAGCTGCTCTTTCCATTTAAAGTGATTGAACCAATTCAGATGTCCAGCAGTTTGTGGGTCTCAAGTGATTTTAGTATCTCAATACTTGTGTCTGCAAGATTCATTCACTGGTTAATCAGTATTCCCAGCTACTATTGCAGCTTGAAGGTAAACACCAAGCAAATCAGAGATCACTAAAGAATAAGGCAATTTTAAAAAAAAGCCACCTTTGAATTTGCACCAGTAAGTGCTTAGGATTAAACACACCAGTGAGAGATGTTGTTCCACAATTTAAAGTTACATTTATTATTTCTGAATTAAAAATGAATAAAACTTTAAGGGGAGGAGGAAGTGTGTTGCACTAAGGCCTTCCAGCAGGAGAGGGTAGTCCAAATGGGGAGAACTGATTCCTAAATAATGTCACTTGAGAAGTGTCACTCATTAAAGAACTTTCTGTCCCACGTCTAAATTATTTTGTCACATTTAGACCCATCAAAAATGTTCAGTCCTTGGCAATGTCCTTTGGCCAGTTTGTACACCAACTCTGTTTTACGTATTTATTTGTCACAGCTAAAAATGTTTTACATTTAAGACTATACATTTAGAGTTACTTTTATTTTACATTTTATTTTTGTTAAAAGAAGAGTAGTGGCAATTAGTACTTAAAACAAGCTTTAAACAAATACAGTCATTTCCATTCTCATCCCACTGCTATTGCAAGTCCATTATGCAGCTGCCCTTTGCCACAAAAAGAGAAGCACACACACGCACACACCCATGCACACACCCACCCACACCTATAGCCATTTTTTTTTAATCCCCACGACTTTTCTGCATATCAGCTATATATTGGGTTATGTGGAGCTGCCCTGACTCATTGTTTGCAGCGTAACCCCATATAACCATCACCAGGTGAGTTTGTATGTACTGTTCTTTCTGTTTAAACAATTGATGAGCCCTTAGTATAAATAAAAAATTTTAGGTAAGAAAAAAATGCAACAGGTTGTATATGTAAATTGTCATTTAGTGATTTAAAAAAAATGTGTTAGTTATTGCATTCAAAATTAACAGTTTATTGTAATATGTGTTTAGATGTTTTTTGGTTTGAAGACTCATTGGTCGCAACTGAAAAGAAAAAAAATATTGATCAAACAAACTTTTACAACATAAGTGTTGTCAAAGATAATGTAGTGTAAAAATGCTTCACATAAAATATATATTGTTGCTGTGAAAATGACTCATTACATGCATCTGAAAATGCAAATGTGAGTAAATGTAATATGTTTTAAGATTAAAAAAACAGCTGCCTGTCATCTTTGATTGATGAGCTTGAAGAGAAAATGTAAATTTGCTTAAAATAATGACCTGAATAATTTACAGGAACCATTCAAGAACTAAAATGAACGAAGTTACACAATGTTTTAAAGACAAAATAGTATTATTAGTAATTCATAATCATGATTTTTTGTTGAATACTGTTTGTATTTCTTTTAATCATTTTAAGTGTGCTAATCATCTCTAAAACCTCAGAGTTTAAATGCTATTTTCCAGCCTTTCTAAAGTTTCATCAATAACCTGTTGAAATTTCTCCACAGTTTGACACAGTGTCAGATGATCCTCAAGCCCTGTAAATGTTGGTATGAATACGACTACTGCTGTCAATCGGGACCCGCTTCATGTTGCAATCTTAAAGAATGTGATCACTGTGACCCTCTCCCTCGCCATTATCTACATTAATGGGACTCTGGTTCATATATTCAGAAAACATCAGGTATCAATTTAATGGATTTTAAGAATACTTAAAATATTAAATTAGGCTCAAACGCTGTTATTTCATTCAAACCATTTTACTGTATAATTGTAAAAATTATATTTACCAATTTAAATTAACAAAGAAATGTAAATATAATTATAGACAAATACACTAACTACCATCTAACATAGACATACAGACAGATAGATATTTAGCATCTTTTCTTGTCTGAAAGTTTTGTTTTTGAAAATTATCGCTTTCTGTTTGTATGGACTGATTGAGTATTTTTAGTCAGTGTTTTACTAAAAAATCTTTAAATTTTATTACAATGATGTCTTAATAGAGAACATGTGTCTACACTGTAACACCACAAAAGACCACCAAAGGTTTAAAATGCCTTTCTACAAAAAGTTTTTAAAAACTTCTTTTATTACAAATATTAAAATATTGTAACTCGGAAAGAGCATGAAAAAGGGATTGCTACATTATAATAATTCTATGAAAAATTTACTGACTGATCCTCCTAAAGAAAGATGTATCTGGTAAAAACATAAATTTGATCATTACTTTCTTGCATCATTGCAGACAGGTTAGTTAACATCAATAAAGATCTTACATTGACCTTGGGAGATATTTACAGAAAAAAATATCTCCCAATGTAAATCTGTTGATGAAACAAATACCTAATTTCACCAATTGGGATCCATTCCCCATTACGAGCTTTAGAAATCAAAGCATAAAGGCAGACTTGCTAAAGTATCATCACTGTTTCTTAAAAACATCTTGTCTTTTGTTGCAGGTCTTCAACACAAATTCTCGTTACATCTTGTACATCCACCTGGTAATCAATGATATCCTCATGCTCACACTGATGATCCTCCTCCAAGTTCTTAGTTACATTATATATACACTCAATGTCTCATTTTGCATCATTATACTAATGCTTGCCGTATCTACAAATCTAAACAACCCCTTAACGCTTGCTGCCATGGCTCTAGAGTGCTACCTGGCAATATGCTTCCCTTTCCGTCACCATCAGATCTGTACGGTCAGGAAAACTTACATTGTGATCACTGTGATATGGGTCCTAAGTTTATTGACAATCTTACCAGATCTGTTCATAATTATTGCCACAAGACCTGCAGAGTACTTTCATTCCAGGATTTTCTGCATGCTGGCAAATGTTTTTACAAACCCAGTCCTTACAAAGAAGAAAGATGTATCCAACATTTTGTTTCTAGTCATTGTTTGGCTCATTCTTTTTTATGCGTACTTTAGAATACTTTTCACTGCACAGGCTGCTTCAGTAAGTGCAAAGAAAGCAAGGAACACTGTCCTACTTCATGGCTTTCAGCTGTTGTTATGCATGCTAAGCTACATTCATAGTATATCAATAGAGGGCCTGTCAATTTTGTTTCCAAAAGATATTCTTGCCATTCGGTATGTAATTTCTCTACTGATTCAGGTCATGCCCAGGCTCATCAGTCCAATGGTATATGGCATAAGGGATAAAATGTTCAGAAAGTACCTTAAAAGATACATGCTGCCTTTGAATTTGAATGTTTATCCAGAAAATCTCCAAAAAAGTTAAAGATATGAATGTTTATAAACAGACAATAATCTTTTTAAAGGCCCAATATGGTCTTTTTCTTTGATCCATTGTATTGAACTGCATATAATAGTGTAAAATTAGGATACCTCAGCAAAAGTCTACCCCTTAAAACAGTCTTTGCAATGTCACTTTTGATATTACATCATGAAAGGTGTAGGTGCAAGAATTATGATTCAGTTAAATTTCAGTTCAGTTGTGGTTCAGTTAACTGTGACTTTCATTTTGTTTTGTCTTTTTTTTCTCCACTTTTTTATCATTTCTGTATGAGCCGCACTGAAACGTCACTGTTTAAATTCTAATCAACGAAATGCAAATGGTTAATCATAGATTGTTGAAATAAAGAAAAAGAAAAAAAAATCATGCTGTTCTTGCTTGTCATTTGTCTAATTTACTAGAGCTCCCCTTTCATTCACTGTAGTAAACTGAGTTTTGGTTATGTCAACAGCAGATGAAATATAATGCTAACATAAGGTTGTCCTTAGCACAATATGCAAAAGGGAAGCACATAAACACACACACCCACACCCTTGGATTTTTTGGTTCCCTTGAGTTTTCTCCACTTTATATATTGGATTGTGTCGAACAGATCTAATGGATCTGCAGCATAAACCAGGTGAGTTTTTGTACAGGCTTCTTAAACTGAACTACTATGTTAATAGTTGTTCAGTTTAATCATTTCATGATTATTTAGTATTATTTAAAGATTTGCTGTATAAAAAATTGCAATAGATATGTCAAATGTGATTTACTAAATTTCTGCTTTGCTTCTTGTGTTGGTATCCTTTGCAAACAATATTGTGATGTGAAAATGTACTGTTTAATTTTTACAGCTATTTATTTTATGTTTGGAGTTGTATTGGTTGCAGCAGGGAAATAAATAATTTTGATCAAAATAAATATTTCATGAAATTATTTATTTTCATGATCATGACCCATTACAAAATACATCAATTGGAAAATGTAAAATGTGAATAAATGGAAGACATTTTCAATCTAACAACTACTAACTGTCATCTTTGATAAAAAGCTTGAAGGGAAAATAAACAATGTCTTTATATGACAGTGAGAAATTAACTGTGACTATTACAGAACTAAAATGAACAAAGTTAAATTGAGTTTTTTAAATACCATCTTATTGGCATTTTATATAATTCATATTAAAGACTCTGTATTCATTTTAATAATATTAAGCATATTAATAGATACAGTTTAAATTCTGTTTTTCAAACTTGTCAAAGACATTAATTTAGTCAGTTTTAACAATAATCTGTTGAATATTTCTCCACAGTTCTGCATACTTTTTCAGATGACCCCCAAACCCTCTACATGTTGGTATGAATATCACTACTGTCAATCGGGACCCGCTGCATGTAGCAATCTTAAAGAATGTGATCACTGTTGTCCTCGCTCTTGCTATTATCTACATTAATGGAACTCTGGTTCATACATTCAGAAAACATCAGGTATCAATTTTATACATTTTGAAAATAAGCAAATGTGTTTTTTATGTAACAATTAAGGTAACATGGACCTCGTTTTGCTGTTGCTGTAAAACGTCCCCTTTCAAATGTGATTCAGTTAAATGGAAATTTTAGAATTGTTGTTTCTTAGCTGTTGTACTTGCAGTTTTATGTAAATACATGACAACGGTAGACAAAATGAGGCCATTGGAAATGTAAGGTAAAATGTGAGTTACCTGCTTTCTCTCCAGAAAACATCCATTTAAGATTGGAAATTAGGTTCAACACGATTGTTTTACTCAAGCACTTAGTAAGAGTTACAGCTTTCAACATTATTAAGTCATCGCTGGTGATTTTTTTTTTTTTTTTTTTTTAAGTGTGACACATGAAAATATAAAATTGCCTCCGAGTGCCTCTATTTGTTAAATTGCTTTTGTCTGATATTTTTCTGAAAGTTGTATTTTTTTTATTTACAATCGTCTGTTGGGTTCATTAAGCATAAAAAAAAACTACCTTTAAAGTTTTCTAACAATAATGTCTGAATAAAGAACGTGTCCTCATTGTACAGCTGCAAGAGACCACTTAAAGTGTATCATGCTTAACCAGAAGAAATGTATGAAAATCAATTTTACTCCATCTGTTATGATAATGAAATGATAAAACTTGCTACGAAATGTTTTAGGTTTCGGTTTTGACAAAGTCTTTTAATTTGAATGTCTAGTTATCACTGTATAAATTGTGATGGGGTTAGGGTAGTTAAATTTGTGAACCTAAAGTTCATATAAAGTTTCATCTGAGCAAGAACATTGATAATTTAAGTCCTTAAACAATTACAGACTGATTATCCTAAAGCAGGAGGCATCAGATAAAAATATACATTTGATTATATGACTTTCAAGTATCATTGGATAATGGTTAAATGACACCAATAAATGCCTTTTATTGACCTTGGGAGATTGTGATACGAACGAAAAAATGTTAAAATTAAATGTCTGAAAAGAAAAACAAACAATTTTAGGATTGATGTCCAGATTTTTTCACATTCTAACCAAATTAAAGCAAAATGGTCTGTCTTTCAATTCCATTTCTTAAAAAAATCTTGTTCTTTGTTTCAGGTTTTCAACACAAATTCTCGTTACATCTTGTACATCCACCTGGTAATCAATGATATCCTCATGCTCGCACTGATGATCCTCCTCCAAGTTCTTAGTTACATTATATATAAATTCAATGTCTCATTTTGCATTATTATGCTAATGATTGCCACATCCACAAGTCTAAACAACCCCTTAACGCTTGCTGCCATGGCTCTAGAGTGCTACCTGGCAATATGCTTCCCTCTCCGTCACCCTCAGATCTGTACGGTCAGGAAAACTTACATTGTGATCACTGTGATATGGGTCCTAAGCTCTCTTGCAGTACTGCCAGATCTGTTCATAATTATTGCCACAAGACCTGCAAAGTACTTTCATTCCAGTGTCTTGTGCTTGTGGGCTAATATTTTTACAAGCCCGGCCCTTAAACAGAAGAAAGATGTATTCAACATTTTGCTTCTAGTCATTGTTTGGCTCATTCTTTTTTATGCGTACTTTAGAATACTTTTCACTGCACAGGCTGCTTCAGTAAATGCAAAGAAAGCAAGAAACACTGTCCTACTTCATGGCTTTCAGCTGTTGTTATGCATGCTAACCTTTGTTTATATTATATCAATAGAGGGCCTGTCAATTTTGTTTCCAAATGACATCCCATCCATTCGGTATGTAATTACACTATTGATTCAGGTCATGCCTCGGCTCATCAGTCCGATGGTATATGGCATAAGGGATAAAATGTTCAGGAAACACCTAAAACAATACCTGTTACCTTTAAATCCAGCCGGTCATCCAAAAAAAGGTACAAAAAAGAACAATATAAAGATATTTGTATTTTAAGTAGATTTTTAAAGGCCCAGGATAGTTTTTAGGGAGCCATAAAAGTTTATGGTAATAGGGAGACATATCTTATAGTTCATATTTTTATGTTTTCTCCACTTTTTTATTGTTTCTGTTTTCAATGAAACATACATCAATTTCACCTTTTAGGTTTTTACCGCAAAAATAACATTGGTTGTTATTTGACAGTTATTTGGTTGTCTGAATAAAAAATAACATAAATCATGCAGTTAACAGACTTGTCATTTATTTGATTTACAAGAGCTCATGTTTTCAAACACAGTTTTGGTTATGCAAGTCTCTAAAAACTGCAATTTGGTTTACATTTTTTTATATATACCAGTCAACCATTCCAATGGACTTATGGACTTGTAAAACATTTAAACTCAAGTACATCTAAATAGGAATGATTACCTCTTTCCTCTCTGACCACTCTCAAGTAAAGGGCACTAGAGCCAACAAAAATCTTCAAAACAAACAAATAAAATACTTAACGTTATCCATCATGTTGTATTTGCCTATTCATATTCAGGATCATATGTAGGCAGGCTGTTGAGGAGGCCACTAGAAGATTACTGAACATATGAACAGAAAACAAATTGTCACGTTCAAGAAACTAATTTTAGATGACTTGTGCTCTGTGAAATGGTCTGTTGTCCTTCTGGAAGTAGTCATCTGAAAACTGGTACACTGTGATAATAAAGGAAAGGATGTGGTCACCAAAAACAATGCTCATTTGACGCTGAGGTCACAAGAATAACAAAATTGTACCTTTGATCTGATATGGAAAAACATGTTTCATATTCACCATATAGTAGCTTTTTTGTTGTCTGAATGGTTTTCTTAGGGAATGATAGTTATTAAAATCAATTGTGTGTGAAATCAGGCTTTGAATCTGTGAGCAAGAGCTGCTGCACAAACTGATGTGGGTGGTTATACACACACAGACACACTTGACTATTTTTCATCCCATGACTTTTGCTCAGCCTATATAAATTGATCCGTATGAAGCGCAGCTGACTACTTGTCTGAAACATAACTGTGTGTAACCATCACAAGGTGAGTCTCCTTCATGCTGTTCTTGTGTGTAAACATTGAGACTTCAGTGTTAAAATTTTAAAATTATTGCTGAGTCACATGTTAGAGATGTTTCCAATTTATCTGATTTAAATCTTGTTGCTGCTGTCATTACTGGAGCTGAAAAGTTAATTTTTCAGCTCTACAATTTTTCAAATATCTTTCTTGTGTTTGTAAGATAGATCATGAATTAATTAGAAAAAATATATGTATTTATCAAAGATTTATTTTTATTAAGTTTTTATTGAGACATGCTTTTCTAAGCTGATGACAAATGAAAGTGTATATTAGTTGGAAGTGAATCATGTTGAACTAAATTCTACTCTGTTTGTCAAAATTACACCTTACTTAAATGCTTTGTGATAAAATGGTGATTTGTGACTTCTTTTCCAGCTATATAAACTTGACATGCTATGTAAAATTTTGTCACTTTTATTTCCTTGATAAATATTTTTCTGCAGGTTGCCAGATTATATCAGATGAGTTATATCATGTACTGGCATGAATACCACAGCAACCAGGAATAAGGACCCCCTGCACATTGCAATACTTAAGAGTGGATTCTCTGTTGTTTTCTCGCTCTCCATCATCTACATAAATGGGATTCTGATACACATATTCAGAAAACATCAGGTATCAACTCTGTCTCATTCAAAAATTTACCCTGATTGCTTCAGTAAAGGACAATAGGTGACACAAATCTATTTACTTTTGCTGTACAATAAAAGCCGAACAATAAAATGTCATGAAGGACCTGGGTCTTTCAGGATAGAGGTTTTTTTTGTTGTTTGCAGTTGTAGCATTTATCATTTCAAAGAAACAAAAAGTTGTTTCACCTTGTCATGAATCGCACATGTCTTCAAGTTGCTGATTAGTTCTTTTCCTCATTGCATTTCATCAGACATTGTGTTGGTCTCAACCAAAGTTGCAAAAACAATCTTTTTGTCACAAATGTGTAAGACTGAGAAAAATTATTTTGATTCATTGTTTAATTGATCTTTTGATTGCTTTTCTATTAGTATTCCTGGCATTTTATTAACATGTTAAGCAGTGATGCATCACGCTGTGCATCACTGTGATCAACAGACATTAATTATTACTAATCAATGATTGTCTGAAATAAACTAATGGAAAATGAAATATTAAAAACAAATTTTAAATGAGAAATATGGGTAGGGTATGTGCCGTTGTTTTAATCAGTTTGTCATTCTGGCAGAAACAAGAGCATTATTGTTTTTCCACCTTTTATCCTGCTAATACTGTCAGTACATATTTGTTCAACATTGTATGTTGCTTCATTGTATGTTGAATTTAATAAAAATAAAGGTAGAGTTAGTGTCAGATTTAACATGTCAATACTAAACATTTTAAAAAAAATTTAATAGCACATTGATGACAAAGTTGTTTATGATAATTATTGAAACAAATTAATCCCACTCTGCTACACAATATTTATTTTAAAAATATGTTACTTCAGCTCAGATCATACACTTCCAGTCATTTTACCATTTATTATGTGTGTGTCTGTTTTTCAAGCTCAGTAAGTAACTTGAACAGTTCATTCTTCTATTGCCCCTCATTTCCTTAACGTTTTGTCTCTCCTTTCAGGTTTTCAACATGAACTCCCGTTACATCCTCTACATCCATCTGGTGGCCAATGACATCATCATGTTAACACTAATGATACTCTTGATATTCCTGAGCTATGCCCTGTTCACAATCAATGTATCATTTTGCATTATCGTGCTTATTATTGCCATATCTTCAAATCTAAACAACCCCTTAACACTTGCTGCCATGGCATTAGAGTGCTATCTGGCCATATGCTTCCCTCTCCGCCACCCTCAAATCTGTACGGTCAAGAAAACTTACATTGTGATCTCTTTCATATGGTTCCTAAGCTCTCTTACAATACTGCCAGATCTGTTTGTAGTTGTGGCAACAAGACCTGCAGAATATTTTAATTCGAGGATTTTCTGCTTGTGGGCAAATATTTTCACTGATCCACAGCTTGAAAAGAAGAGGGACATATCCAACATTATTTATTTCGTGATTGTTTGGCTCATTCTTTTCTATGCATATTTCAGAATTCTTTTCACAGCACAGGCTGCTTCTGCAAACGCTAAAAAAGCGAGGAATACCGTCTTGCTGCACGGCTTCCAGCTGCTGCTGTGTATGCTAAGTTATGTTCATAGTATAATGATTGAGGGCATCATAAAGTTTTTCCCAGGAGATGCTCTGATCATTCGCTTTGTGATCTCTTTGCTGATTCAGGTCACACCTCGACTCGTCAGTCCAATAGTTTATGGAATAAGGGATAAATTGTTCAGAGAGTACCTGAAAAGATTCTTTTTACCCTCAACTAAAGCAAGAATTAATCCAGAAAAATTGGAAAATAAGCCAACATAAGGGAATGTTCTACTTCCTGCAGAGTTTTTCTTATTTATTGAGCTTCTTAATATTCTTTATATATATGATGAGAGAGAGATACAGAGATTTGATTTTCCTCATATGCAATAATGTCATTTGAAAATGTTATATTTATTTTAAGTTCTTCAACATTTTGCAAAACAAATAAAGTCTTTTTTTAATGACATTTTCACATAATATGATTAAATTTGTTTTGTCAAACAAAATAAACTGATTAAAATGCAAGTTTCCAGAAAAGTTGGTGCTTATACATGTGCTCTTTCCTAATTGGGAAATGTTTTATTTAGTATTGTAAATGTTTGGAAAAGTCTTACTTTAGCTTTTTTTTTTGTTTTCTTCCAATAATTTATTCCCTCTAACGAGTACTTTTTCATCAGATGTCAAAGAACATTGCTTTTAACTACTTTGGGGGTTTTTTTTAATGTGTTTTTACACTTCAAAGAATATTATTGGAACTGTAAATTATTTCAGTAACTCAATTCACGAAGTGAAGCACATTACATTGATCAATTACACATCCATTGATGTTTTTAGACCTTTATTTCTATTACTAATAATGGTTTCAGCTTATAGCAAATATAATATTTATGTTTAGAATATGACATGAGACCAATTAAAATTGATTTTTTATCCAGATATGAAAACCTAATAAAAAAAATATCCTTAATATATGCTGAAAGACGTTTTTTTTTTTTTTTTGAAAGGTATAGATGCTTTACAGCGCATATGCTAGTTTGATGAATATGTTTGTAATCTAATTACAGTAACATGTCACTCATTGTCACTCTAGGTATTTGCAAATCATGTTTCAAACTAAAATTTTCCATTAAACCATCTAGAAGCTACCAATAATTAAAACCACCTGTTTTAAAACGACATTTACTCATTTTTATGACAGAATAATATAGACTACATTTGTAACAGTAAATGGTAAATGATCTCTACTGGTATAGATATTTATGAAGTCCAGGAAACCCCGATGCACTTTACACTACATTCAGTCATTCACCCATTGTCTCTCATTCACAAGTTTTCCTTGGTACTGTGATTCTTTTTTTAGTGCTCACGTAGCAGACCTTATTCATCAAAACCATCTGGCTCTGGCTCCCCAGGAGATCCACCACTCTAAGCTCTGATACCGGAGTCCAGACATTTAGTTTGTACATGTCTTCCTCCAGAATGCGTCTGACCCCCATGCACTGAAAACTCGGACAGTACTTGTCCGGATCACTAAAAGAAAATTAACAAAAAACAGAAATACAAACATCTGAAATCAAATGTCAGGTCCATCCTATATCTAAAGGAATCTCAATCTCAAGAGCTCTCTGCCACCAAGTCACTTAAATATAAGATCTTAAATATAAGATCATTATCAGCTAAAAGCCTGTTAGTAAATGGCTTCATCACTCTGCATCCCTGGAGCCAAACATCGAGAAGTATCATTCAGTTTATATGCAATGAATGCATATAAACTGGAACAAACTCCCAGAAAACAGCAAAACAGCAGAAACGATTAATGCCTTTAAATCTAGACCAAAAACCATCTGTTTAGGGTTGCTTTTGAAACATCAATGACATGTTAATCAACATTTGAGGTGTGAAAATGGCACTTGACAATTGTATTTTTTCATGAGTAAAACTGATGTGAAACTCTTTAAATTGCCTTGTTGCTGAAATATAGTACAGAATATAGTAATAAATAACAGGATGATTGGAACTGATATTATTATCATTGTTTCAATGTGCCAGGTTACATCATTATTGCCATCACATATTCCAGCTCACCACCAAACACGGGTGTCTTTAAAAGGCAGATACTTTTTGTCTCCGCCTCACTTGAGGTCAGGTAAGTATAGCTGAGGAGGTGAGCTTCCCGTTTACATTAGCAGATTTTAAAGAATTTGTATTTTACATCAAAACTTAAAGTTTTAATTGAACCAATTTGTCACTGTTTAGACTTTAAAATTCACACTGTAATATTTTTGTCGTGCAGTGATTAGTGTACAGTTGACCTTCAAAGGAAGACAGATGTGGCTGTGTAACATGCAAAATCATAGAAAAATCTGTTTACCTCTGTTTTAACACAGGAAAATGTTATCATCTACTTTTGCTAAAGAAAGCTGTCTTTAGTGACAAATACAGAATGCAAATATTGTAGAAGTTTTTATTTTGAACATGTTTAAGATATTTTGAATGCACTTTTATCAACATTTACCGCCATCTTTCTTTTAATTAGTTTCTTTCTGATGTTACAGTGAACCATGAACTCATTACTGAGTCTCACAAACAACACAACTTCCCCTTATCAGGTGTGTTAACAGAGAATATCACTGAAATATAACATGTAGAAAACATTTTTCCAAAGAATCAAACGGGGTGCTTATTTGTTTTTCATTCATTTATTTATTTATTTATTTTAAGAAATATTTGGGAAAAGATAAGAGTCAGAATGTGTAAAGAAAGACTAAGAAATATTAGTGGTGTTTGTTTTTGTTGTTTGAAAACCTAATGACTGCGTTATTATAATGATTTTCAAACCAAACAATCTTAGTAAAGCATACCCAGATTCATGGGAGGATTTATTTTTCTTGTAGTTTTGCTATTCATCTATTACAGTCTCCTCCTTTTTCTGACCAGTCTGTTCTATACAGAGATACTTTCACCATGGCCTTGGTGAAGAACCTGATTGTCGTGCTGGTCTGGCTTGTCCTCACGTATATCAACTGCATCTTGGCTGCCACGTTTTTTAGACATCGGGTACACACATCTACAGCTCAAAACAATAACCTGTTTTTTAAAAATTGCATTTGCAGAATATCTTTGCAACATATTTGCCTGCAGGTTTAAGACAAGATGAAAAATTTGATGTTATGAAACCTGTGAAATGTACATTTTAGATTTATTTTACTGTCTAAAAGTCTAAAGAATAACAATGTAGTTCAGGCTGTATGTTGAGTGTCACTTCTATTTTCTACTCTAATCTCTGACCAATTTCTCTGTTACTGAAAAGGAAACCAAAAGGTGTATCTGAGTGGAAAAGACCGAATGTATGTGTGAAGCACAACTTTCTTTATTTGTCAAACATTTTTCAAAACTGATCGAATAGATGGTTGAAGATTTACAGATTCAAATAAATTCTACTCATTTTCTTTTCCCAGGATGTTGATGTTTGGTCATTGTTAGTTTATAATTTATGTTACACTAAATATAATTTTAGTATAATCCTTGATGATCTGGTAATTCATAAGTACAAATTTAAGCCTGTTTGTTGTTTTTTCTTCCAACAGACTTTCTATGAAGATCCTCGTTACATCCTCTTCATCCACATGGTGATCAATGACGGCATTCAACTTACTGTGACTGTCACACTTTTCATCCTGAGCTACATTTTCTACAGGATCAACGTCTCGCTCTGCTGCTTCTTCATCTTGGTGGCGGTCTTCACCACCAGAAACACCCCAGTCAACTTGGCTGGGATGGCCATAGAGCGCTACATTGCCATTTGCAAACCTTTGCGTTACTCTCAAATCTGCACAGTGAGGAGGACTTATATAGTCATTGGATTGATTTGGTTTATATGTGTTGTCCCAGATATAACAGATTTGTTTGTGACTCTGGCAACTGAGCCGTTAAGCTTTTTCCAACACAACTCTGTGTTCTGTTTGCGGGAGAACGTGTTCAAAGATCCGATCCTGGCTCAGAAAAGGAAAGCCTTTGATATTATTTATTTTTCATGTGTTTTTCTTACTCTGGTCTTTACCTATCTGAAGATCCTGTTTGTAGCCAGGGCGCTCTCCACAGCTGACACGTCAGCCCAGAAAGCCAGAAACACCATCCTCCTTCACGGTGTCCAGCTGGCCATGTGCCTGCTCTCCTACATCTCTCCAAGCGTGGAGATTGTTCTGCACATCATCTTCCCGGGTCGAATCCTAGAAATCAGATTTGCAAACTACCTGATTGTTTATATGCTACCGCGGTTCCTGAGCCCGATAATTTATGGTGCCAGAGACAAGACGTTCAAGAAGCATCTCAGGATGGACGCGCTGAGATGCAGCTGCAAGTATAAAGGAAAACCAGTGGTCCCACTGAACAAAGACAGAATGTGAAAATATATATTTTTTTACAACAGCATAAATAAATGTTTACATTATGAACTTTTGATTATGCTTGCCAAAAATAAAACTTTCATTGAACTAAAGATAATAAACATTCACAATATAAGTTTTGAAAAATTATATTTAATTCTACCATTGATATAGAGATAACACTGAAGAAAAACAGCAAACATGGGGACCTTTTATAGATTCAATTTTAATAATATAACACACTTTAATAAAGTATGAGACATATTGCTGAAACCAGAACTTTATAGTCACTTCATAAAGAGATAAGTAGCACTTCTCTACTGCCTAGATTAGATTTTTGTTGTTATTGTTACCAAAATATTTATATTTGCATAATACTGCAGTATTGAAACCAACTTTACATATTTTTTCAGTGTTTTTACATAATTTGTAGGCTTTTTCATAAACACAGTGGGAATGTTTATGAAAAAGCCATCATACTGTTCAGGAAAGAGCCACACACAAACAAATTGAACAATTGTGAAATGATCAAAGAAAAGAATGGGTTAAAAGAGCACTGAGAGGCACTCAGAGTGCCTCACTCAGTGCTTTTTTTTTTGCTCTTATGGACTTCATAAACTGAGCACCTTTCCATTCGAAGTTCTACAAGTACCCCAAGGACCATAGGAACAGTTAGTCTTCCATGTTAGACTTTAAAACTCCAGCTGTCACTCTGGATAAAGAGGGTGCTTCGGACCATTCCGCCTGCAGGTCTTGAACTCAGACCCATCGGAACCGCAACGCATGTCTTTACGCAGTGCGCAAACCGAGCACTCACCCATCAAGCCGCTCGAACTCCTAAAAGT